ACAGTTCAGTGAAGAATATTTTTATGTAATATTTCGTCATTTGATGGACGAGTCTGTTAATTTGTTGCTGAATCCTTGATCCATATTATATGCTTTTTATTATTGAGTATCGACTATAGAGAAATGGTATTCTCACGCATACACAGCCAAATATCTACACATATACGAAATATGTACAATTTCTCTACCGCGTAACGAAAAAAAATTATGAGAATATTTGAAATAGTTTTGTAGTCTCCGTAAAAAAACAAAAGGAAAAACAAAAACAAAATGACTCAAATAATTTGGACCAACAGTGTAATAGTCTCATACCAGCGCACACTAATTTCATTGCAGTTAATAATATTTATGGTTTTTGATTAGATTTCTTTCTTGTTGATTATTGTTCTTTTTTACTTTCGATATTTTTGTTTTTTGATTTTTTGTACATTATTTGTTTGTTCATTCGATTTGTTTTTTCGCTGTTTTCTTGTTGTAATTAACTCCAGTAACTAACACCTGCACTTTTAAGGTTTGAAAGTCGAGATATACTGCGCAACAGTCTGTGTGTTCATTTGAGTGTAGTGTAGCATTGTAAATTTTCTAAAATTACGTAAAAAGAGAAGAAAAAAAAAACTGAAATCTTGGACACCATAATGAAATAAAAATAAAAATCCATTGACCAGTATTTGTTCAAGATTTTTGAAGGTATTTCAATTGTCAACATATAGAACTTTTTCATATCATAACTTGAAAATCGAAATTGAAAAAAAAAAGAACACAAAAACAGCAGAAATAGAATAGTTTACGATATGACAGTAAAAATAAATGAAATGTAATAAAGTTTTTGAACCAAAAATCTCATAAATAATACCTTGATAAAAATTTAGTTTCAAAAATGCTAACAATCCTTTACAGTGTATATATGTGAGATATTCAGATTACAGATGTACGCCAATGCTGAGGTCACCAAACTTGCTGCAAAGTTTTATACAATTGAGATAAGCGATAAACAAAAGTTGCTTATATACATATCTATATAGACATGTATGAATACAAATGCATTAAATAACATATAAGAAAATGATGTGAGAGTTAAATATTTAATTGTCAACTTGGCATTTACAGTTCATGAAGCATAAAAACAATTCATTACCACTGGAGGAGGAAGTAGAGTAGAGGGAGTGCGCAACATTGCTTTGAATCTCAAAAAGGGGAAAGTGTGAGAATTAGTCACTGAATAGGTAGCAATACAAAACAAAAGACAATTAGTACCGTGGATTATGGATAATATACCGTTAGGGTCGGAACATTACCAGCCCAACACCTCAAAGGTAAAACAGTTAACAAAAAAGAATAAGTAAATAAGTAAGAAAAAGTACACTTTTTATTAAGAATCATTCGAAGAGTTGAAGAGGTGAGATGGCTATTGGTCGCGCAAACGCACACAACAACTTTAATATTCTCAGAAATTTCATTTAAACTTTTGAATATCAAACGTTATGTCTAGTTTAATATACTTTAATAAAAGCTGCATCTGATTATTTATAGTTATAATTAATCCCATTGTTTCACTTCTTAAGGTTTTTCTTTTTAGTGCAATTAGTCTCATGCACACCCAAACACACATGCATGCGCCCATCCATCTCTTTCTGTTTTCTGCTACATATATTACATATTCATACACCGCCACCAATGTTGCTGAAAATTGAACTTGAAGCTTTCTTATTAACGTTTCATTAATTGAGAAACAAAAAATTTGTTAAAATATATTTTTTTCATTGTTTTCACATTTGCACATAAACGGAGATTCGCGTACACGCATATTTGAACGCATTGTAATGTACTTACTCCCTGACTCTTTTACACGTTATCAATACCTAAAATGCAAACAATGAGGCATCTTTATTTCATTTCCGTTATATTAGAAGCAGACAAAAACAGGTGTAAATACTAAAAATTTGATGTTTTCATTACATACTTAATGCCCTTTTTACGCACATTTTTAAAAGATGAGATTTGATTTAACACGAGTTAAAAAGGTAAAATCTCCTTTTACATGGATCGTTGCGTTTTAACACCAGGTTAATATTCCATGAATTTTTTTCACGAATTTTTGTGATAAAATTTTTTTTTTATGTTTCTAGGAATTTTTTCATTATCACTCCTTACTCCATACATGCATTGTTACTTCACGGTACAATTTTCACAATTCAATTAGATTATGTCGATTATATGCGTATAGGAGTGATATTCCACGAATTATGCATAGAATAAAGACGTAAAATATAAGTCATTTTGTGCAATGTATTTAATGAATTAAAATGTATAAGCACCAAATGAATTCTTAAGTCGACTCTAACAACAATTTTTTAATATTGTTTTGTATGTTTAATATTGTTTATTGCTCACAGATTTCTGACTCTGATCATATCGGTCTTTACGACTTGTACATGCTCGTTCGTTCATCTACGTATTAATATATCGCGTCTTTCGTTTATTGCTAGCTCTTCCACAAACGGATCGACACTCTCATTTTTCAAAGATCTGAGGGCTCATGCGTAATCGCCTCAAGCCAATTTTGCCGATTTCACAAAATTGTATAAAGAATACTGAAATTTTCCATAAGTAGCCTTGAAAACGATATTCACAAATACTTGTATACTCTAATAACAATTTAAAAAAAAAATATAAATAATCCTATAAGAAAAATTCAAAAACTTTTAATTTACTTTAATATATAACTTTTGCAGTATGTAGAGCATGTTTCAAAACTTTAAACTTAATTATGAACTCAGGATTAAATTGTTTCCAATCGGCCTAACAATGCACCTATATTAATGTATAACTATGATCGGTGATTAATATTAGTCCTAAGACGGGCTATATGCTCTTTCTTAAACTTTTTTAACTTTTCTTGCGTAGTTTGATGAGATGATGAGTAATGAGAACCATGAAATTATCATGAACAGACGCACCGCCAATAGTTAAACATAGCTTTGTAGCAATTGCTAACCATTTAAGGTAGCTGATGTCTTGTAAACCTAATCTTACCTTAAACTTTAATTAAATATGTTTTTTTTTCTAATGTATTAAAACTGAAATCTTTCAGTCTCTAAGATGCGAATTGACAACACAATAAATTATTTAATATACTTGGAATGTTACAAAAAACAATTACAAACTAATGTATTAGAATTTTTCTGATTCAAACATCAAATACGAGTAGATCGCCTTAAGTGCCCTCATATTATGTGCGTCTTATCCCTGTGCCAACTAATAATAAAACATATATATGTATATACTTTATACATACTTTAGGAACTACATACATATATTGTTCTGTTCGGAAAGTCATTTCATTTATTTTTGTGTTATGATCTGTGGTTGAATTTCATTAATTTCATCTCTCTGTGATGCCATGAGTTGTTTGCATCAATTAATATCTTCATATTGTCCTCATAAGTTGCAACTGGCATTCCAGACCACGGTATATCTTCGGTATCACGCAACGAAACGAAAAGAAGTAAAATTTTTTAAACCAACTTGGACGTTTTCTTCATAAAAGTTCAATAATTTTTTTCTTTGCTAGAAGAGCATTTGTACCTTCTCATTAGGCAAAAAGTAAAAAGCGGCTGAAAGTGCTGCTTTCGACTTTCGACTTTCCATATCTGATAGGACATCAAATAACAACGAATGCGATTACGCAGAATCAAATAAACTTTTTCAAATACAAGCCTTGCTTGGGATATCAATTGGCAAAATAATATAAATAATATATAATGACAATGCGGCCTATGTGTTGACTGAGAGGTTGGCTGTAAAAATTTGTAAGTTTTCGGTTCAGGGGGAAAAGATAATACGAAATAATATTCCGCACATCCTATATATACGTTAAGAATTTGATAAAACGCACAATTTATATATGCGGTATGTACGCTGAACCCTTTATAATGACCATCCAACAGTGTATATACTCGAAGTGTGGGATAGTTCATTCACTTAAAAATTTACTAATATAGTATACATAACCTTTCATTATAACTAATAAAAAAAAAAAAAAAAAAAAATTAAAAGAATGAATGTTCTGTTAAATACGTTATTAAATTGTATGCACATGCTAAGTGACAGTGGAAATGGAAATTTTAAAATTTGCTAAAATTGAAAGTTCGCTTAAAATTTTTAAGAAGTTTACGAGTCTTTACTAATAATTGTACAATATTTTTTTGAATATTGCTGAAAAGCTTATTACGCTTTCTTATGTGTTGAATCCATGAGTGAACATCCATTCATCATAAAAATATGCCAGTTATTTAAAATTTTCTTTTCTATTGTTTTACTCATATTCAGTTATTTTCAGCAAAAATTTCACGCAAAAATTGTATTAAAATAACATTTTACAATTTTTATATCCATTAGTGTGAGTATGTTAAATTAGTTAAATGTTTGCAAATGCGAGCAAAAATTTTTATAAAAATACAATACATTTATGTACGACCCACTATAAGGTACGTACGACCTTATAGGTACATATGTATATATAACATATACGTATCGACAATGTGTCGGCAAGTTCATTATAATCAGGCAAATAAATTTAAATGTTTAGTGAAACCGCGGGCAAATTTAACCGCAAACAGTCCTTCTTTGCTTCCATCAGATCAAGTTCAAAATTAATTAAATCGATTCAGAAGTTCGCCTGCAATACGTCCCGAGTTCGAAAATAAGAAATTCTCTTCCGTTTATACGTTTTTTTATAATAACCTTAGATTAGTTCTTCATTTTTATTCCTTCTCCGATTGCACTTGCAGTACTTTTTCAATATGTCGTCATAAGTTCATATTTTTCATATATATGTATTATGTGTTATGAGCGTGTTGCGTCCGAAAAACACATTATAACAAGGTTGGTTAGAATGCTCATCATTTCATGGCTTACTATGTTCATAATGCTGCATTTCTTACAAAAAAAAAAAAAAAAAAAAAAAAAAAATTCCCGTCATAGATATACAAAGATTCGGCCAACACTGAATATAATTTGTTTTTTTCTTTCATGATTCATTTAGCTTTCCATTTTTGAACGAATCTTTTTAAGTGGCCAGATATCGGAATAAAAGCGAATTTTATGTATGGATATTTGCTTTACATTGTTTCTCATTCTTGTTTTCTGTTTTCAAAAGTTTTTCTTTTAATGTTGGCTCTCCAAAGCTTTGTTGTATTGTATAATAAACTAATTACATATTCGTAATATAATATTTGCATAGGTTTAATATAACTGAAAGAAAGGAAAAAAAAGTTATAAATATGCATAGAAAAGTGAAGAAAGTTGTGTGCTTGTACTACCAAAAATTTGTCTTCAATGTGTCAGCTTATGAAACATCATCATACGACACGTTGTAGTAATTTGAAGCCAATGCATCCGTATATTTGCATTCAATTCAAGCCATAAATAGAATCCTTTTATAGTAGAATACCTTGAATTCGTCCAAAAAAAAAAAAAAAACAAACAATAGGCGCGGTGTACATATAAAGAATACGAAAGAAGCGAAATGGTATTGACGGTCGTTTTTTTAAAAAGATTTTCATTTTTCAAGCGACTGGTCATTTTGCGAATCGATAGTATTAAAAAATCGGATATAAGCTCAACTTTGTTAGCCAAAGGTGGGGTCAAGGGGTCGTCGGAAAAAAAATTCAAACCGGAAGAAGCCAATAAATGTAATGTAAGGGAAATGCAAACACAGTAATTAAATTTCACGCAACAAAAACAGTGGATCTCGCCATGGTATCCGTTTTGACAATCCTAGATTTTCGTTCGTCGCTATCGTTCCTACAAATTTTTTCGTTAATTCCATATTTATTTATCTCTTTTCATATTTCAATTTAATCCAACCGGTTAACTCGATATACTAAGTCACTCAATGCATGCATAGCAAATTTATGAGAGACGTTGAAAGACCAATGCCAACAGTTGGTCTAAAGACAAAAAAAATGAACTTGTTTAGAGTTTTATGCTGCGATAATTCGAAGGACGAAAGGTCATAATACAGCCTAGGTGTACCATCAGCATTGACGGCATAGCGGTATTTATGATATCAAGCCCCTTAGTCAAAGGTATCAGACGCAACCTACTACGAGCTTATGAAACTGAACAAATCAAGGCTGACCAACTTTATCAATTTGACGATCACAAAAATGGTATCCTTCGTGAATAATCAAAAACGAGATGAGTTGATTTGTTCATACATTTCTCGAATATATTTTTGGAAAATATATTTCCCATAATTAATTTCCAATCATTTAATTTTGTAATGATTTATTACTTTTGTCGAAAATTGCTGCTAATAAGGTAAGCACCGCACAAAAATGCAAAAAAGGTTTTGCCAAGACTGTATTTGAAGCTAAACGACACGCTCCGGCACGCCAACTGATATGATAAATCTTCGATGATTGAAAGCCGCAGAAAAACCGTTATTTATTTAATTTTCATTTCAGTTATCGCGTATACAATAAGGCTCAAACCTTGTAAATTAAAGTACAGGTGTGTTATAGATGAAGAAATATCATGCATATCACAAGCAATATTCTTATTACAGTCTGAATTACGTTGCACATTCGAAGAATAATAGAATATAAGTTGGCTTAGCGGCTAATCTGTTAGTGAGAAATGCGAAATCGGTGGTGGAGCATTCCATGACTTGGTAGCATATACAAAAAAGTGTCTTTCAAACAATAGGCTATAGGTCGTTAACTGTATAATCTTCATACCTCTATTCGTGTATTGGAGCTACTTAGCGTAAATAATTTTGTCATAGTTTTACCATAGTTCCAAAGGCGACACAGAGAAATCGAAGAACGTATGCTGAAACGGGATCCCATATACTTTTACAGCATATAGGTAACGAGACACATTGTTGATAGCCATTTCAATCCCCGTATCGCAGCTATCTCACAATTGCAAATAATTTCACACCCATACAAAAAATAGAAGGCAAGTTTTGGTCAAGAAATACGTTAGGTCCAGTGGTGTGCTGCAACGGGTTACCCATAGGTTACGTAGCTTGCGGTATGTGTTAGCAGTAGCACTACCGACATTATTTTCCCATGTTAACTTTATGTTCAAACTAATACCAAGGTTTACAGCCGTATCAGTACGTAGAGCCAGCTTGCTATTGATAATTATCCTTAAATCAGTTACATTCTTTAGAAAGGCGTGAAGAGAAATTCGAATTTAAATAGCAAAGACACATGCCATACGCTTTAACGTAGCCCTGTAAACGCCCTAACAGGGGTCTGCTATGTATTTAAAATCAAGGTATAGTTGGGTTTGGAAGCATACTCCGCTCAGATTAGGAAACGCAAAATATTTTTGTGGACACAGCATGAATCTATATGAAAATACTTACTATTCCGTTATTATTTAAGGCGGACTGCCTCGCAACATTAGCAAAGTTTGCATTTAATTTGAAAATTTGACATATCACAGGTTTTCCCATCTTTGAAACCCATCCGATCTATTATTTTCCAAACCTTCTTGCTCGTAGATAGTAATTATATTTTGCTAACTCTATCCTGTTCCTAGAACTCTTCTATACTCCTATACACCCGAATTCCGCTCTTCTATTACTACTATTTTAATGTCATCATTGAACCACGGCCTGTCTCCTTTCATACGGTTCCATCGCTTTACCGGTACATACAGACTGAAAAGAAACCTCGAAAATTTTAAGCTTGTTATCAACACTGTGCGCCCAAGTGTAGATCTCATGTTATATTTTCCACCGCAGCTATGAACCTATTATCAGTAATATTGGTAAAGTCGTGGTACGTGATGCTAGGTGGCCTACTCGTCACCATGCGTGGAAAACATGAGGGAACATAATTGATTATAAAGCGAGATATTATTATGATTATATGCAATAAATAAATCCAAAAGTGTGTTAATGCCTTGAGTAAAGTGAGTTGCTATGACTGTGTTGGCAGGATATAGGTCATCAGTGAGTAAATTTTTGGATAATAGATTGCAATTAAATTCACTGCAGATAATAATAAATAAGTTCTCAATCTCAGTCAGTACCGCACCAAAGTCCACATTACGGTGTAGTGGATAAGAAGACCTTTGAAAAATATTGCACAGTTACCCCTCCGAAAATATAAAACTATTAAACAAAAAGAAAACTCTATTATTTGCATTTTTTGCTTTGTCTGTCATAGAGAATTACAAAGTCTACATGCAAGAAGATAATAAAGTGATAGTGATCCATAGACCACATAGAGTCAAAAGTTCAAAAAATTATCCCAGCCTGTACAAAGTTTTCATACCAATTTAGTTCATACCTCCTTGGTAAATTGTAACGCATTCAGTAATGCCCAGCATCCGAAATAAATTTGGAATTAAATAGCTTCTTCATACTTCTGTGAATTATTAGTAAATCTGTCTAATCGACTATTACAGTCATAAGATTAACGGAGCGTAATGGGCAATTGAGTTTAATTTAGCTTTGTAAATACAAAGATATAAGGGTGAAAAACATTAAAAAGCGGAAATACATGCCGATATATCTCAATAAGCCAAGTATGTAACAGGTTTGGAGGCTTAAGTGCTATTTTGATTTTATTTTTAATATGAGTTCAACTGTCCTGCTGTGCTAGTTAACACAGTTTGCAACATTTTTGAATTATAAACAAGATCACTGTTAAAAAGAGTCAGAATTAAAATATGTTTCAAAACAAATGAACGATACGGTAAACTGTTTGACCTAAGCACAACTACAGATAACTTATATTAATAGAGGAAATGGAGAAACCTGGTGGTGATTTATTTAGATTCGTTTTTGGAGTTAAGCGTATGCGTTAAGATTAAATTTATTAATCGAGAAATTAACAATGTTGGCATGTTGACCTGAAACAGTTCGGCACTTTTTCCTATTCTAGTTTCTAATGTACAATCAATACATTTATACAAATATATTTATACATGCATATTGCACGTGAGCATAGATATGGTTTCAAAATTAATATATAAACAACTAAGAAAATTAAACTCGGTCGACACTGAATCTTTTATACCCATTACCGTTATCCTAAAAAAGACAAACGAAGTAAAAGAACAAAATTCTCATGCTATATAATATGGAGCGAGCGCAAGTGATTGTTTCTATTTTGAAAATAAAAGTTTTTATCGCAGACGTATGTGAGCGTTGTAGACGTGTCTTTTGAAAAGTTTAGCTCAATTCCAACTTCTTTTACAAATTTGTAGGCGATATTTTCATTTTTGCTAACGGGACAATGTTTGCCACAAATACAAAGTTGCGCAAACGGATAAATCGTCAGACGAATAGACACACATGTTTAGATGCATTTCAAATTTGAAGCTGGCTAAGAGTTTATATACTTTATAGGGTTTTTGAAGCTTCTTTCTGTGCGTTATAAAGGTATTGAAAAAATAATTCAATTTTTATGTACTATAATATTGAGTAGGCATGGTAAATTTTTTTCATTTTTTTGCACACAAGCTAGAGAATCGCCTATAGAATATGCGTTCAAATTTTTGTCATTTATTTGCTATAGTTTATGAGTAATGAGCAAAAAACCAGTTTTTCACTCCTTTTGAAAAACGGAAGTGTTCTTAGTTTACGTGGTGCTATAGGTGTGTCTTTCGACCGATTTGGCCCATTGGTATGGAAATACCAACCTGCGTGTGAGAACTTCCAATGCTTCTGACAAATTTAATGGCGATAGCTTCATTTTCGCGACTCGAAGAATGTTTATAGCAGACATTACATAGACGGACAGATCAACATGCTTAGTCGATTTAGAATTCTATGCTGATAAAGAATATATATACTTTGTGGGGCTCTGATGGTTCCTTCTGGGCGTAGCAAACGTTTCGATAAAATGAGTATACCCCCCATCCTTCGATGGCGGGTATAAAACGAATACCAAATAGGCAGCAAATAGTTTTTTGTTTTTAGGCCTTGGAAGTCATATAGGCAGCCTTGATCCGCAATAATCTATGGCTTCGTGGACTTCTTATGAGTATGTCGGACATTTTCGATTTGACATTTAGACTTCAAGTAGTCGAACAATAGACTTAAGAGGCAAACTTCTTTTGTCTTGTCTTGCTATATCACTGCATACATGCATGTATATAAATTACAATTTCTTTCGTTTTTATACTCGTTAGTAAAGGATGGAGGGTGCATTGATTTCTCAGATCGTCTGCAACGTCCTGAAGAAAGAATCAGAGACCCCATGAAAAATATATGTTCCAGATCAGCATTAAATTCTGAACCGATTTGATCATATCCGGCTGTCCGTTTGTGTAGTGTCTATTGTAAACATTCTCCTGGCCATAAAAATGAATCTATCGACTGCAAATTTGGCAGGACTATTTGAAGTTCTTGCACGCAGTTTGGTATTGAAAATGGATTAAATCGGTTAAAAGACATGCCTACATAGTACGTAAACTGTTTTTTAAAATGATTAACAAATTGATTTCTTTTGCATTACTCAAAAATTAGTGTCTATGCAAAAACAGAAACAATTGACCACGCCTACCCAATGTTATAGTGGATCAAAATTTAATTTTTTTTTTCAGTAATTTTATAACGCGCAAAAATAAGCTTCATAAATTCCATAAAGTATATAAACCCTTCGCCAGTTTCAAATTCGGAATGCACTTAAGCCAGTCTATCTATTCAACTATACGTCTGTCTATTTGCGCAGCGGTATAGTGTTTGTGGTAAACAATCTCCCGTTCGGCAAAAATGAATGTATCGGTTACAAAGTTGCAAAACAATTCAAAAATGACCAAACTTTTCAAACACCAATCCTATAACGCCCACAAGTCTTTGTACCAAGAACTGTGAAAACCTTGATTTTCCGCTTTCCTTGATTCTTTGCTTGTTGCTTATAAAATACAACACATACACCATATAAATTTCCATTTTTATTCTAAAAATAGAAAAAATCAACCACGCCCACACAATGGCATAGAGTATGAAAATTAAGTACCTTTCCTTTTTATTAGGACCGCGGTGGTAGTTATAAAAGATTCTGTCGCGACCGAACATAATTTTCTTAGTTGTTGTTTCTTTAAAACTTTTCGTAAAAGATTTCTTTTTTTTTACAACACAGTTGTTTGCGAACGCATTTCCTCACCAATTTCTAGCGTTAAAGTGCACTTTTCAAACTTTATACGGAGATTACATTTAGCAAATTTGCATTTACGGTTCCCATTTGCAAAACAAAAACAAATTTTATATGTGTATGGGCATATGCACACAGGCACATTGGCAAAAAATATGATGTTTCTCGATTGTAAGAGCACTGAAGATTGTGGCTGCATATCCAGACATAGCAAGCACAATAGCAAAGACAAAAGACGGCCGCAATTAAAAGACGCCTAGTGTTCTACGCAGCGCAACAATGAACGCAGTAACAAAAGCAGACCGTGTAACAATTGTAATGAAATCGAGCTTAGCTCTAGAGACAGCAAGTTTCAGTTTCATTTGACTATCGGACATGAACAGTTGTAGTCAGCGTTTGAAGAGATTTACAAGTAAACGATACAAATACACAAAAGAAAAATAATAATAATAATAATAATAAACAAATAAATAAAAATAATAAGAGCTGAACTAAAAGAAATTGATACTGTTTAGGAAATTAATTCTAATTATGTAACGGCTTTTCTTCTAATTTTTCTCGCATATAGCCTACTGAAAATGTTTTATTTTTCATCGTAAAACTAATAAAATTTATTATTGTTCCGAAAATCTCATTTATTTTGCCAGTGAAGTGTGTCTACAGGAAATGTTTCGCAATAATTGAAAAGCTAATAAACGGAGTGTAGAAATCGCAATAAAAATCATAGCAAAACATTGAACATCGATATCACATCTTTCATAAATTGAGTTTTTGATGGCCTAAAACCAGATCAAATCAATATATCAAGTTTAGTTTTTCAGTTTCTATTCTTTGATCTATAGATAGAATGTTATGGATCGGAAGAGCTTAGTCGGTAGAAATCTTAATATTTGTTCGAATAATTATTGGGCCTTCGAACTATTTCGCTAAGCGCCGTAAGCGATAGAAATGACTTCCAGAATAAAATATTTTTTTTAATTTAAAATCAGATACTTAATGAAAGACTGAGCTTTCAAAGTAAAAAAGGTAAAGAAAGAAAAATTTGAATCTTGCACTTTTTAACATCGCTCAGTCACAAACGCAAAAGCTTTTGTTTACTTTAGTTTTCTTATTATTGACACATATCCTATATTGACATCTTATCCTTCGAAAAGGCGTAATGTACTGCACCAAAGATTGTAACTGCAGCTTGTGCCGAGAATTGCGAGGTTTTAAGCCGGCGAAATCAACTAAGCGCATACCTCTTAATAGTTCATTGTTTGGCCGTTTCAATAATAATTTCATTTTAAAACGTCGAAGTTCGAATTCACTAAAAACATTTCAACCACAATCATTAAGATGTAGTGAAATGTGTCAACAACGCCGTGATGCCGGTCAATTGTATGACTTTTGTAAACGTCAAACTAAAACGCCGTCACCCACACCTATTACACAAGCACCATCCGCATCGCCATCGCCATCGCTGTCGCTACCACTGGCGCATAAGAAGCTAGATAATATTAAACCTCCTGTATCGCTTAACTCTAATCATAAGGTAGTCATTTATTTTGGCGATTCGTTGATCTTGCGTGGCAAAAGTAATATAATCAAATCATCAATTAAAAATGAGGCAGATGCGGCAACCGTTGCCCCATTTAATAGTAACAAACTGCAAAACGTGTCAACAAGTGTTTTAAAGCAACAAGCGGATGAACTGCCGTCATTTATCGAGAGTGTGCAGAACGGTGTAATTAATATTAAAATAGAAGGCAACTATCAAACCGCATCAGCCTTGGTAGCAAAAGTAGCTAAGCCAACGCAGGCTGTGGTAGGTAAGCCGAGAGACTTATTGGCACAGCAAGAATTAGAAGATGATGATGAAGATGAGGTCACCTATGAAGGCAGTTCGATCAAAGGGGAAAATCTTAGCTTCAATGCTTCTTGTGATTGGAGTTTTGTGCAAGGGTGGCGAGCACGGTAATTAACGTTTTTAAACTAAAGTTATTCCGCCGCGTTTCCCCATTCCTCATCTTGTATGTTTATTTTGATATTGAATAACTTCTAAATTATAGCATCTGGTCAATTGGAATCTTTAAAAAATGTTTAAAAAGAGTCGTCTTGAGCTCTACGTCTAGTTGCTTTGATTATTATTACATATATAAAACTGTTGTTGAAGTTAACCGTTTTTTTTCATTCGTTAAATATGTAAATGATAAAGAGGTTTGCTTGTATTGTTTAAAATATAATTCCATTGTATGGCAGCGACTCAGTATAAAATCTTTGTGAAAGCAAAGAAAAAAAGAAAATACACACTTTAAATTAAGTTTCAGTATAATCTGATTAGAATACAAGTTTTCTTTCTTACTTGATGACATCTTTTATATTGTATCTACGTTTGTGTGTTTTCTTTTAACTAATTAGCTGTAATTTTTTTTTTTTGTTTTGTAGGCCTATTGGTAACATACGTCATGATATATCTGTTCTTAGCCCTCAGCAGACTAATGCAACTCTACCGTACGCTGCTTCAACAGTAGGAGTTACTTTAGCGCCGATGCACGGTGCTGGCACTGCAGTTCAATCATCTTCTGCAGATCTGTTTAGAACGGGACGAATACAAAATCCTGCTACGGCCACTCCTGCTCCAAGAATCCCCAAAGAAGTGGCACAAAGACCAGGAGCGACAATTAGTTGTACCATAGCCAACGTTCCTTCAATATGCGTGAATTCTAATAGTGAACTTACTCATTTCGAAAATTTACCAAAAAAAATTTGTAGCAATATTAATATGGGCTCGAACAATCATGACAACTTTTCTACCCCTATGCCCCAAAGATCCGTTCATGGCCCAACCCGACTTACTGTTCAGAGTATTCCCGTGAAGTCTCAAGGGCCCATGTTAAGTGCTAGTTTAAATCAATCTCCACATAACAGCATGTCTATACGTAAGGTTTCCGAAAAATCATCTTTAAGTTTCAGTACAACCAATATTGGCATAACCACGGATTCCGGTTACTCGACGAATGTCGGTGTTCATTCCACCAAGTCTAATTTAACAACTCGGACACATCACCATGAATTCCATGCTTTAGAACGAGTGCAAGAATGCAATAGTTCCTCCGATGAAAACCGATCCTCGGGACATGCCAGCATGTCTGACACTGGAGGTCATGGTAGCTCTTCGCCAGGTGGAGGCATAACGTTAGGGCCGTTACCGGAGGATCGTTTAGCAGCCGGGGTAACGAATCGCAGTACACGTTCACGTACTAGCGCTAACCATTCCAGAACAAGACATCGTGCCACACCCGCCAAAGCTCCTTGGGGTGGTAATGGCTTGGAAGACATAAAACTAGCGATACAGCAGTTAACTATGCGCTCTCAGACCAGTACTAGTACATACAGCAGTTTGAGTGCGGGTTCAGAAAGTTCAGAACCTGGACGACGATTGGGTCGTTACGCTTCTTTAGAAACTGTAAATACAAATGTTACTAATGCAGACGAGTTTGTTTGGGTGGATTCTCATAATCGTTTAGTGGAATTGCAGCATCCTCCCTGGAGTCAACAATGTATCGTAAATGTCATACGTAATGGACGGTGCAAAGATACAGCAGATCGAGTTTTGCCTGATGCAGTGTCACGATTAGCATATCTGCTTCAAAGAGCACTAGTTAGAATTGCAAGGGAAGTTCAACGTCTTTCTTCTAATCTTAGCTTATGTTCTAAGCAGGAAGTTGCAGGTGCTTTTAAAATTGTACTCTGTCCGGCATTAGCGGACTCGTGCCTCAAAGCCTGCCTAAGGGCGGCAGCTATGTTCGCTTTACCCGGGGATAGTGCTCTAAAACAAAGTAAATCATCAAGAGCCGGTTTACAATTACCAGTCGGTCGATTTCATCGATGGATGGCTGATGCTAGACTAGGGAAATTCATACATGAATATGCTGCCGTGTATCTGTGTGCAGGAATTGAGAATTTACTTGAAGACATTTTGTTGCAAAGTTTCCCTGACGATTCATGTGCACAGTTAACAGCAGCTGTATTGGAACATTCGATTTCTGTGTCGGGAGATATGTGGGGTCTTTTACAACCATATGCTCACCTCAACGCTGGTCGTATTGCATCAGGAGCGTTAACAATGCCTCAGTGGGCCAGCCAGCCGTCGCTAGTTACCGGGACTCATCAAAGTTGTTCCTCTGGTAACAACAGTAATATAAGTTTAGAACCGTGCCTACTGACTACTTGCGTTGGAAGTATTAATGAGCTAAGAGATCTAACTTTAAGAGCTCAACACAAGTTTCAGAATACTGCTCTTTCAAACGCCGCTTTATCTGCTTTATTTTACTTTATGAGATGTTCTCAATTGGAACATAGTGAATTTACAGGACAGCAAGCATCGGGAAGTAACACAAGTGGCCCCAACAATGCACAAAACGTTCAAGAACTGTGTTATGAAAGAGCTTATGTAGTACTACCACCTTTAGTTGAATGGCTTAGGGTGGCATCTGCTCACGCTGAATATCGTAATGCTATGATGATGGACAAGGATGATATAATGCAGGCAGCTAGGCTTCTATTACCAGGAGTGGATTGTCCTAATAGGCCCGTAAGTCATGACGAAGAATTGCCAACTAAAAAAACTCATTTTTGTTCAAATGTGGGGGCCAGCATTAATGAAGACACATTGGAGTTGGGAAAAAGAGCTACGGTCTTATTATCTTTCAAATTAATGTTAACTGGTAGAGCAGAGCTTTTGGCTCAAGCGTCCAGTTTATTGCCCGCTGCCACGCGATATGATACATTAAATCATGCCGGAATGACGGCATTAATGATTGCAAGCATAGGAAATGATGAGTTAGCAATACAAGCACTACTAGATGCCGGGTGTGACCCAAACACTGAAGTGCCGACTATAGGAAATTCCAATTGTCCAGCTATACATCCGGACACACAACACTGGACTGCGGTTACTTTCGCAGCAGCAAAAGCTAATTACTCAGCTTTGCGCATGCTCCTTGAAAGGGGAGGCAAAGTTGAAGGTGGAGCTCGACAAAGTGAAGATAAACATACACTTACACCTCTGCAAGTCGCTTGCGGTATTGGCAATGTCGAAGTGGTATCTTTATTATTAGCCCACGGTGCTAATGCATTCCTTTCCACGCAACAAAAGGACTCAATCAGCTTTGCAGGATCAGCCCAAAGAGGTTGTTATTGTGCAATATCAGTAGCTGCAGCGCATGGCCAGAGGGCCATTCTAAGGAAGCTTTTGTCAACCCCCATGAACCCAGTGTCCAAAGACGTATTATCGTTGGAGGAAATGTTAGCTGAAGGCGAATCTAATAGCGCTCGGTCGAACGCTATTTCCGATCGTTTCTGCGCCACCGATGTAACGCCAACTCTTAACAAAACACAAATTAAAAGTTTGCAAGAAGCGATGTACCACAGTGCAGAAAATAACTACTTAGGTAAAACAGAAGGTTGGAATATTTAATTACAAATTTCTTACAGTTATTTACTTTGCCAGATATTACAATTGAGCTGAGAACGCTCGGAGTTCCGTGGAGTCTGCATTGTTGGATGCACGCTTTATCAGCAGCCCACGAATTGCGTTTAGATGCTGTCATAGATCAATTGCTGCAAGATTTTTTGCAAGTGTGCCCAGATGATTATAGTGCACAGTTCGTTAGCGAATGTCTACCACTGCTTTTTAATATATTCCGGTATAGCAAGAATGAGGGCACCACATTACTGTTAGCGGATATTTTTGCAACATGCTTTGGTTGGGAACAAATTAAATCCATCAGAGAACTTCTTCTGCAACCAGCAAATAGTTCACGGATCGATCCAAAATTTGTAAATAATTCCGAACTCAGTGATGTTACTTTCAGGTAAAGTGTTATAATGCTAATCCGTTTACAGACTCTGTTGAATATAGGCCATTTTTTTTATTTTTTCAGGGTTGAAGGAAAAATATTCTATGGTCATAAAATTGTATTAGTTACTGCATCACCGCGTTTCCAAAATATGCTTAGCTGCAAGTTAAGTGAAGGTACCACGCCAACTGTTCAAATCAACGACATACGTTATCCCATCTTTCAACTGGTTATGCAGTATTTATATAGCGGTGGTTGCAATGCTTTGGAGGTCTCTAAGGGAGATGTCCTGGAGCTAATGGCAGCGTCTAGTTTCTTCCAATTAGATGGACTTTTGCGTTATACAGAAGCAAGATGTTCAGAAATGATTGACATTGACAATGTCGTGGCCATGTACATACACGCCAAGGTAGCGAAAATAAATTATAATTGAATGAATACACATTTTTACATTGCACCCTTACTTTAAAATCGTAGGTTTACAATGCCACGAAGTTGCTGGAGTTTTGTCAAGGTTTTCTGCTGCAGAACATGGTCGCATTATTAACTTACGATGATTCTGTGAAGAGACTATTGTTCGCGAAGAAAATACCTAATCACGATGTGCTATCGGGCCTGTTACAAACTCTTCAACAACGAATTAAAGAACGTAAATCCGTAGGAATGGGCAATCTTCGTCAGCAACTGAGTTCACCCACAGCAATAAATGGATTAACAATTTCATCGTTGCAAAACTCCTCGGCATCAAACACTAGCATCGCCAGTACCTTAGGGGCCCTTAAAAAGTGAAACGGTTTTAAATGAGACACTGTTATAATGTAAAGTATTAGTTATCGAAGTGTAAGTTAGCTTACGTTTATTTATTTCCAATCGTTTATTATCATCTATATATATAAAAATTTCGATTTTTATATTGAAAACAATTGTAATTCCATTAAAAGGACGACGATTAAAATGTTAATTTATCATCAGCAAATTTCCTGCTAGACGTTTAAATATACATGTACCGTACGTAGGTACCTCCCAAAGAGGTCAACTCTAATTTAGTTAATTTTAGAAGAAATAAACAAACAAATAATAATAAACGTTTCTTGTAATATACTATTTAAACTTCATCATCATTAATTTCGTCAAAATTTTCAGTAGGAGGCGCGGGACGTTCGCTATTCTCTTTAGCAGATACCGAAATCGTTTCAGGTATATTGCTGCCTACCGGCACAAAACCGCGATTATCCGCCTTGTATTTAACCGTTATTTCTTCGCCATCCACATCAATAAATGAATAGGCTCCACTGACTTCCAAGTAGGCCTGTTTGGTGCCAGGATTTTTCACGACGGCAATCTCTTCGCGAAAACTGCCATCAGCTCCACGATAATGGAAACTGTACGATCCATCCAGCTTATGTTGCGCACCTGATTCGAGAATTGTAACTATTTTTGGCTCTTTTGTTGGAAGCTTATCTCTTTTTAAGGCCACATTATCAACGAGTTCCACTAACCCATCAACAGCACCAGGATTATTTTCGTTCACTGGAGCGGTACATGTCACGCTAATACAAATTAGCAAACACAGCTATTAAGAAAATCATTAGGAATCCAAAATCTCACAATTAGATGGTTAGCGAACTACTCACGTATTTCATTCTGTATCAGAACAAGTTTAATCAGCAACTTCTCAAAGACAATTAACGAAACACATTGGTCGATGTTTTGGATTTGGCCATAATTTTTATACTTTTTTTTGCATCACATTTTGTTTTTTTATTTTTATTTTTTTCTAAATTTGTAAAAGTTTATTAGCTTTTAACGAAAACTTCGCATGCTTATCAACTTGACAGGTTTTTGGTGGAAACACATAACTTATTTTTAGTGACATTAAGCCGGTTTTTGCTGTCTTTTTGTACAGTATACGCCAAGCTGCACGGGAGGGATATACAATTAACCCATTAAAAACAGTAGTTTTATTAATTTTAAATAAATAAAGCAAAAATTAATTTTTAAAAACATATAAATGAATGTCGAGTATAGTCAAAATATAATACTTCGTGAAAAGTTCGTCAGCGATTCCTTACCCTTAAGATAGATATAAGAAAACAAGTCGTGAAATTATTCGGAAGATTGAAAAATTTTAATATGAAGTACGAAGTTTTACCCGCCACCTCCGGCAATTTGATTTTTCCTTTGAATTTTACAGTATTTAGGCTCACAACAATTATCAACGACACATACGCCACTTAAAAAAGATTTTGACTTATATTTAATATAAACGAATGTACCTTATATTCATGTGTACTTTGCGTTCAATGAAATAAATATTTTTCAAACAGACTTGCTAACAATGCTATTTATTTCGCGAAATCTGTTACAAAGTAAATAATCCTATGAACATCTTCCTATACTATATATACATATATACGTATTCTATGGTGTACATATTGCTATGTCATGCCATTTTCGTTTAAGTAAAAAAATTTAAGTATAGTTTTGAAAAATTAAAGAACGTCGATTGAACAAATTTTTCAGAATTATACTTAGACATCCTATATTTTCCATATATTTCTATGGTAGAAAGCTTAAGCTGTAGTAACGCGGCATATTATATTTTCTTACAGATACTGTCACAGTGTATAAGTGTATGAGTTTTCGCCGATTAAATTTTGATTCCATTAAATTTTGAAATGACGTAAAAATTTGGCGAAACGATTGATATTCTTCAAGTACATCTCGTCACTAAAGAAAATATTTTCAACAAAGGGAGCGTTGCAAGCTTATCATATCCTAAGTATGTGTCTTGGTTGGTTTCTCACAAGTACGTGTCTTTATGAGTAGCGAGTTGTTGCAACATATCGTCAGTCTGGTATTTGCCGTTCTTAGCTACTATTTTTCACATTTTTGTGCCAACTTATGCAATTCGTGTGTCTTCTACGGTTTTTCACCAAAAGAGTTCCTCTTTTTAACATTGGTATAGGAACTCAAGCTATGACAAAATAGATCCTAAGTGTCAAAGAGAACGGTCAAGGTGTAGTGTGTACCATGAAGTGGTTATCACCCACGATTCAGTGGTGGTGGTTTCCTAAAAATGATTGTGTAGTGCAATGTATTACGAAGAAATTTTATGCTGAGCAATCACACGCTAATGTCCTTTTGCAAATTACAACTCTATTTACTTAATGGCTAGCAAAAATATATTAGCTGTTATTGGTAGCATTTCCTAATGATGAATTCATTGTGGTGGAATAGATCCTTCAATTAAATGCAAATCGTACCACTCACGACAAATGCGGTGTACATAACATATTCAGAGTTGATAAGACTAGATAACATATAGTTCACGTGTAGCATGAAAAAGAGGGGTCTGACATACAGAAGTCACAGTACTATACGTTTTAGAACTAGTTACCTCCTCTATCACGAATTCAATAATAATATATGAAATGTATATTTAACGAAATATATCCGAAAATGAAAAAGAAGATAGACCAATCACTGGCCGTGGGTTCAAATCTCAAGTGTGATGTAGTTTTCAATAAAGCCGCTAATCTTTAGCTAAGTTAATAATAATATATAAGATTACCTTTCTTAGCAATAAAAACGTAACTTCTAAGGATACTTAAATGAAACTAAGAAAAATTGCTACGAATCTACGAATTTTACATACAATACCGATTATATAAGAGTATGAATTATAGTTAGGTGACTTTTCTATCAGGTTATTTCCCGAGAAGTTTTCTTTTAACAACTTTATCGACCACTGTTAAGGAGTGCTGATGACATAAATCCTTACAGTTTTCACATACGCCCGTAAACGTGAAGACGGCTCATAATTTGTACGACATTGAGGTAATCTAATTGGCGCACAGTATGTTGAGGCTCTTAACGAAGCATTCAAATCAATCCCCTTTAGTAGGAATGGGGATGTTATCGGAATCACTTCTGCGTTTATTCAAACTTTTGAGAGTAGAAAGAGTAGATAGGAGACCAAACTACATCGACATACTCTAATCATATGACCATAAATAAAGTAACGCAAACTTTTTTCAACAATTCTTGTGAAGTGCAATTGCACTTGCATTTGCCTGTGTTAAGAATCGTGCCATTTACTTTCTACCGTTTAACCACTACTGAAAGCAAATTCCACTTCAATGACTGCAATGGAATAGTCTCAGATCATCCGCATACATTACTATGCGAGTATCAATTGTAAAAGATGGGGTGTTATCCACAAATGGAATAAAAAAAGAGGTATTAAGTGACCCCGGGGAACACCTAAACAATAACTAAACAATTTCATGAAACATGCAATTGTTAGCATGCAATAAAAGCCAATTTGAGCCAAATCAGCATTAATAATAATAATAAATAATAGGAATAAAAATATAGAATAAGTAATAGTAAAATAACTATAAGAATAATAATAATACTTACAATAATATTAATAGCATGACAAAGTACTTCGAATACCTTTCACATTACGTTTTGGGAGTTTAAAATTAAAAAATCAGAAATGCCTTATAATATAGCCGTCATAGAAAGTTTCAGTATAAGAAAAGTACGCCTGTCTTCATATACGTTCGCGTATGTAGGGATCAAACAAATCTATCTGTATTCTTATTTCTTATTGAAAGCATTTCTATCTGAAAAAAAACAGGTTCAATTCCCACAATTGATTGCTTTAATTTGACATTATTTATCAATTAAATGCACAAAATATGACATGCCAAGCGTTCGTTAATAATAAAATGCAAACAAATTCCGGGATAAGTCAATTTTAGATCTTTTAAAAAAATACATGATATCGCCCACAATACAGCTGGCATGCAATTTATTTATTTTATTTACTTACACATGAAACTCAACTACGACAAATTAACAATCGTATTCAATTGACTTTTAGAAGTAAATCCTATACTAATTAATATTAGAAACTAGTATAAAGCACGTAAGGATAAGTAAAGAAAAACAAGTAAGAAAATTATATTCGGCAGGGGCCGAATCTCAAATATCCACCACTATTCTCTTCGCATTCTACTCTCCACGTTCTTTTATTTGTTACTCATATCGCTAGTAGTATTAAGAAAAAATTAATAGCGATGTCTACCATATTCATTTTAAAAGGCGTTAAATCTCAAAATCTTCCATTTTTGGACTTAGAGAGTGAAGTGTCTCGTAAAGGCACTATGGAAGGTTTCAGCCTTCTAATTTTAATAATTTCCGAGTAACGAGCAAAAATCCAAAAAATTTTGTTAAAAAAAACTGAGTTGCGTTCAGTTTAAGCTCCATTGCGCGCTTTTGCTCTGACCAATTTGGCTCATTGTCAATACCAACCTGTGTGCAGAAACTTCAAATGTCTTTACCAAATTTCAAGTCGATATCTTCATTTGTGCCAACAGCACACACCACACAGACGGACGGATACGGTTAAATCAACTCAGAATTTGCCGCTGATCAACAATATATATACTTTACAAGATTTCTGAAGCGTCCTTTTGGGTGTTACATATATTTTGGAAAAAAAAAAAACAAAATCAGTATACCCCCATCCTACAGTGGTAGGTATAAAAAATAATAATAATAATAATTAAATAATAATTTATTTATAAATAAATAAGAAAAAAAAATGGACAAATAGAAAGAAAAAAAGCAATTACACAACTAGCACATAGGCACACCCACAACCAATACAGAACCAAATTGCAAGCCATCGCAAACATGCAAAAGTTTGGCAATCGAGTTACAACAACAGTTAATTTTTTTTAAAGTTTTTTCAAGTTTTGAAAGACTTTAAAGAATCCGATAATGAGATTAAGTCATAGTGATGATCATTTAGGTTTCTACAAACAGCTCTAAACGGGTTAAACAGCTCATAATTATATTTATATTGACTCAGCCTAATGAACATAAAGTGCCTAGAAAAGCGGTTAGAGACATTAAAGCTTATCTCACCAAATAATGCGGAATAGAAGCGATGGTACCATTGATTAACTTAAGTTAAAAGGAGACACCAAGAATAAATCCACGTTTCTCAGGAAAAACAGAAGCAACCTATTTTCATAAGGAGGCAACGAGAGAACCGGGTCTTAACCCAAATTCCTAAGGGCAAACCGCGAGAATTACTTTTAAACTGAGTCAATTGAATCAATATAACATGTATGCGAGAGAGATCACACAACAGAGTGATACTCAATGATATTGGTCTAACTAAGCATATGTATAGCTTTTTTGCAATGTAAGAATCCCTCAACTTTTTGGACCATCTCTTAATGAAACAAAGCGCGAACGTAGCTTTACTTAAAGAGAGCTCAATATGCAAACTAAAACCCAATCTTTGATCGAATAGAATCCCTAAATCGATGAACAAATCAACGTCTTCCAACTTGTGTGAGTCAATGAAATACTCCAAACTGAGTGACCCCCATCTTATGAAAGAAAGTTTCTTGCATTTTTTTAGATTTAATTTCATAAAACTTAACGAGCAGCATGTAACGAAATTATAGAGAGAAGGAAGAAAACAGTTTAACATCGTCAGCGTGCATTAAAATATGGCTGGATTTAATCACTGAGTGGAGATCGTTAATGCATAAATTAAGTAAAAGGGGTCCTCAATGGTTGCCTTGAGGGCCGCCAAACGTCACGGGAAATTCATGATGAAGTTAAACAGAATTCTGAATGATGTGTTATGCCGACACAAGCCTAGCCATTTCACTAATTAAGAAGGGAAGACAGAGGCCGGGAGTTTGAATATTAATAAATTATGATTAACTAAGCCAAACGCTTTATTGAACTCCGTATATACGACATCCGTGCGAGTGCCACTATAAAAAGACTTGAAAACATGGCCAGTAAACTCTAAGGGATACGTGATAGTAGATCTTCCTTTCCGAAAGCCGTGCTGGAATAAAGAAATATATGATTTAATAGCAAACGCCAGATGCTCAAACAATTTAGGTAAGACACTCAACTTGGCGATGCCTCTATAATTCTCAAAGTGATGTCGATTTCCACATTTGTGAAACGTAATAAGGAAGCTACTCTTCCAACAGATAGGGAATACACCTGATTTCAAGGAATGATTGAAAATCGTTGAAATAAAACTACCTAGCTCGACAGAGCATGTTTTAGGTATACATGATGGGATCCCATCAGGTTCAGGCTCCGAACTATATTTTAGAGACCTTAAACCATCCAAAACATCATTTTCCGAAATGACCAAGTTAGGAGTCAAAACCGAACTAGATGTAGGATACGGTCAGTTGACTGTTGAATCAGCTCATCGGAATTAGCCGTTGAAAAATGTCGTCGGAAGTATTTTGCAAAAAGATTCGAGGTTTCAATATCATAAGAGGACTCAGAGCCATTGAAAGAAACTTGCGAGGTGTATGTGGAGATTTTTCTTTTGGAATTGACATACTGAAAAACATAACAAGCCGTGAAGATTTTATCAACAGAAGTTATCTGCAATAACATTGGTGGTTGAGGTAATTAAATCTGTACCTTGATGCAGAATAGGCAAAATAATCGTAAGCAGTACCACTTTTCAAAAGTTTTTTGAAAAGTTTGTTTTTTCAATTGTTGTAGTATTTAACTTTCTCGTTAAAGCATGGTGGTCACCTGCTTCGAGGGCGGGGTTGTTTGAGTAAAATATTAGTTTTGTCATTAGTAGTCAGGTAAACTTAAAGGTGGACAGCAATTTGGAACTATCTCCGAGAAATTGACAAAGCAAAGATGTAGCGGTCTGCCATTGCAATTAGGAGTACGGCTGTATTGAAGTAAATTACAATGAAATAATTCGTTTCAAAACACAATAGTTCTGCCAGAAGTTGAACCAGAATTATCATCAGTGAGATCTAGCAAATTGAAGTTCCCAACAGTATAACTCTATCAGCAGGTCTACACTTTTCGGCCACGTCACAAATGAAGGCAGCATGTTTCTTATCAGCAGAAATATCCGCATTTGGGGGAATACACGAGCAAGTTACATATAATTGTTTGCTGCCAATTTTCGCTCGAAATGAAATGAACTCAACGTCTGGAAGAGTAGGAAATTGGAATGAGTAGGATGGGACTGCAGCAAATATGGCTGTTGAAGCACCACCACCAGTGCGGTCTAATCGAACAATTCTGAAAACCTAGGAAGAATTATGAAAAAACTCCGACGAATGTAAATCACGCTTCAACCAGGTTTCAGTGAAAGTAAATAGAAAAACTCCGTGCTTATAGAATTTAGGGAAGTAAAGTGAATTTTTGATTTTAGGCCATTAGCATTTTCGTAAGTGAAAGTTACTGGGCCTGAAGAAACATTTAGTTTTCCGAGAGTGGAAGAACTACCAAATTAGTATTACGGGGCCGATCCCGACCAATGACTTCCTTAATTAAGGGTCCAACTAGTGACAATGATTTATTTAATACAATTTCCATGTTTTCAGTCGGAACTAGCACTTTAAGAGACGAGGTAGCTCTATGTTGAGATGGACCCAATTTAAAAAGCTAACAGTCTGGGGAAGAAGATAAGTGACCTAGATAGCGACACTCATTGAACATTGCCTTGATTTTTTCAAACTTTTCACACAATGGTACGAGATTTTTACTTGATTCAGAAAAGCCATTCCTTGTCTCCGTGAAAAATTTACAAAAGTCAATATCCCGCTTGCTATAGTCGCGACATGACAGTCGTGGACAGCAATTTGGAACTATCTCCGAGAAATTGACAAAGCAAAGATGTAGCGGTCTGCCATTGCAATTAGGAGTACGGCTGTATTGAAGTAAATTACAATCAAATAATTCGTTGCAAAACACAATAGCTCTGCCAAACGTTGAAGTGAAGACTATAAAGCTAGAATTATCACTGTAACACAAAGTGGCAAGATGAAGTCCCCCAACGCTATGACTATATTAGTAAATTTAGACTTTTTTTTAGATAGGCGCAAGTTACCAATAACTACCTATTATGCCGAATGACAATAAATTCAACGTCATGAGGAGAAAGAATTCGATGCAACGAATTTAACTGTTCCTGCCTACCCATCTCTGAGGCGTGAACTCACCATACAAGTTCGATATGCTTCCATATGCTTCGATATGCTTACTCTTTTAAATTCCTTGATACGTTAAGAACAAGTAATAACAACAAGTGAGAGGTAAAGAGTGCACGTCATGTTGGACATAGCTGGCTTGCGTGAAAACAGCAAAACAAAACAATCAATTAGAAAACACGTAAAATGTATGAAAGCAATATATGCAACATATTTTCTATTCTTTTTACTTTTTGTTCACTTCTCTTATTTTATTGTTGTTTATAAAAATCGAGCCGGGCTATTTTTACTGCAACTTAATGTATACAGTAAATGAAATATTTACGGAAACGAACACAATACAATTTTTAAATATGTTACTAAGGCTCATGTAAATGAACTGATTCCAGAACATATTTCATTGTATGTTCGTATGTACTTAACAATAAAATCGGTGGAATATGACTTAGCAGATGTCTTACAAACACAAGTA